AATATAGAAGTTACAATGATAGGAGTTCAGAAAAATATAAGAATAAAATGTGTTTTTAACAGCTTTATTGAGATATAATTAACATACAATAAACTGCACTTATTTAAGTGTACAGTTTGGTAAATTATGATGTTATAACCACAATCAAGATCATCATTGATGTCCATGATTCTTGAAAAGTTTCCTTAATCCCCTTTGTCTTCCCAAACAACCACTGATCTCTTTTTTCTGTCATTATAGGTTAGTCTGCATTTTCTAGAATTTAGTATGAATGGATTTACACAGTTTGTGGGGTTCTTTTGGCCTGACTTCTTTTTCAGTTTGATATTCATCATTGTTATCGCATGTATCAGTATTTGATTCTTTTTATTATTTTATTGCTGAGTAGTATTCCCTCGTGTTGTTACACGACAATTTGTGTATTCACTCGTCTGTTGGTGGATATTTGGTTTGTTTATAGTTTTTGACTATTACAAATAATGCTGCTCTGAACATGCATGTACAAGTCTTTTTATGGACATTTATTTCTTCGGGGTAAATATTTTTTTAAATATGTTTTTATTTTTTAGAGAGAGAGAGAAATATTGCTTGGCTGCCTCCTGCACACCCCCTACTGGGGATTAAACCTACAACCTGAGCATGTGCCCTGACTGGAAATCAAACCAGGACCTCTCAGTCCATGGGACGACACTCAATCCACTGAGCCACACTGGCCGGGCTGTGGGGTAAATAGATAGGAGTGGAACAGCTGAATCATGGTAGGGGTATGTTTAACTTTTCAAGAAACTGCTAAAGTATATTTCACCAGCCATATGTGAGAGTCCCAGTCCCTCCAAATCTCAGCCAACACTTGGTATGGTCAGTCGTTTTCAGTTTTAGTCTTCTAATAGGTGTGGAGTGGAGTGGTATCTCACTGTGGTTTTTAATTTTCCTTTCCCTTGTAATTTACAATATTGAGCATCTTTGCATGTGCTTATTTGCCATCCTATATCTTCTTTGGTGATGTGTATTTAAATCTTCTGTTCAAATTTTTTATTAGGTCATATATTTTTTTATTTTTGAGTTTGAAGGTTACAATATACTATATTTATATTGTATTATAGACTATGTTAGTATTGTATGTATATAATACGTGTGTGTGTGTGTGTATGTGTGTGTATGTAGGATACAAGTTCCTTAACAGACATAGGCTTTACAAAGATTTTCTCCCAGTTAAGGTGTACAATGTAATGATTTGGTATACATAGCAAAATGATTACTTGCACTAGTTAACATCATCTCACATAGTTACCCTTTTTTTGGTGATTAGAGCATCTGACATCTGTCTTAGCAAATTTCTACTATTCAGTGCAATATTATTAACTATAGTCATCATGCTGTGTATTACATTGCTAGACTAACTCATCTCGTATAACTACAGTTTTCATTCTTTTAACTGTGCCTTGAAGAGGAGAAATTTTATATTTTGATGAAGTAGTTTATCAGTTTGTTCTTTTTTTTGGATTGTACCTTTACTGTCATATCTTCATATGAGTTTTTAAAGTTGGAAGTATTATTTTATTTATGAGTTCTATTGCAATGGTTTCTTATTAGTTAGTAGTGTAAGATAGTGTGTTCTCTTGTTTGCATCTTGTGAGTTTAAAATTTTTTTTCATTTCATTCAAAGCTAACTCTGAATTAATAATATAAAATGTAAACATAAAAAACAATTTTGTTGTTGTTGTTTTTAATCCTCAACCAAGGATATTATTCCATTGATTTTCTAGATACAGTGAAAGGGAGGGAGGGGGAGAGAGAGACACACCGATTGGTTGCCTCCCACACAACCCCCAACCAGGGCCAAGAACTGAACCTGGAGCCCATTCAGTCTGCAGGCCAATGCTCCAACCGCTGAGCCAAACTGACCAGGGCAAGATAAAATAATATTTAATGTGTGCATTGGTCTTGCCATAATTAGGTTCTGCTCTAAGCTGTCAGAGTGTTATTAACATATTAGTCCTAGCACTTTATTCACTAGGTACAGCACAGCCAATAGATTTCTGGAAATAAAATAAAGAAAAAAAGACTTCCCCAAAGACTCCATCAAAAATTTACTAGACATAATAAATGAATTTGGCAAAGTAGCAGGATACAAAATTGTTGGCGTTGGTGGTATAGTGGTGAGCATAGCTGCCTTCCAAAATTAATGTCAAGAAATTGATGGCATTCTTATACACCAACGATGAACTCACAGAAAGAGAAACTAAAAAAAAAAAATCCCACTTACGATTGTGGCAAAAAAATTAAGATGCCTAGGAATAAACTTAACCAAAGAAATAAAGGACCTATTCACAGAAAACTGCAGGTCATTGAAAAAAGAAATAGAGGAAGATATAAAAAAGTGGAAGCGCATACATTGTCCATTGATTGAAAGAATTAACATCATTAAAATGTCCATATTACACAAAGCAATCTATAGATTCAATGCAATCCCCATCAGAATATCACGACATACTTCACAGAACTAGAACAAATACTTCAAAAGTTCATATGGAACCAAAAAAGACCTTGAATAGCCATAGCAATCTTGAAAAAGAAGAACAAAGTTGGAGGGATCACATTACCAGATTTCAGGTTATACTACAAAGCCACTGTAATCAAAACAGCCTGGTACTGGCACAGGAACAGGCATATAGACCAGTGGAACAGAACAGAGAACCCAGAAATGGACCCAAGGCAATATACTCAATTAATATTTGACAAAGGTGGCAAGAGCATACAGTGGAGTAAAGACGGCCTCTTTAATAAATGGTGTTGGGAAAATTGGACAGCTACGTGCAAAAAAATGAAACTACACCATCAACTTACACCATATACAAGAATAAACTCAAAATGGATAAAAGACTTAAATGTGACTCATGAATCCATAAAAATCCTAGAAGAAACTGTAGGCAACAAAATTTCAGACATTATACGCAGCAGAATCTTCACTGATACATCACCTAAGGCAACAGAATCAAAGGAAAAAATGAACACATGGGACTACATCAAACTCAAAAGCTTCTGCACAGCAAGAATCTGCACTCTCAATCATCAAAATGGAAAGCCAACCCACTGTATGGCAGAGCATAATTGTCAATGATATATCAGATAAGGGGTTAATTTCCATTATATATAGAGTGCTCATACAACTCCATAAAAGGAAGACAAAGAACCCAATTAAAAAATGGGCAGAGGAACTAAATAGACACCTCTCCAAACAGGACATACAAATGGCCAAGAGACATATAAAGAAATGCTTGACATCACTAATCATCAGAGAGATGCAAATTAAAACAACAATGAGGTATTACCTCACACCTGTCAGAATGGCCTCCATCAACAAATCATCAAACAACAAGTGTTGACAAGGGTGTGGAGAAAAGGGGACTCTAGTACACTGCTGGTGGGAATGCAGACTGGTGCGAATGCAGACTGGTGCAGCCACTATGGGAAACAATATGGTGTTACCTCAAAAACTTAAAAATTGAACTTCCATTTGACCCAGTGATCCCACTTTGAGGAATATACCCTAAGAAGCCTGAAACACCAATCAGAAAGAATATATGTACCCCCGTGTTTGTAGCAGCACTATTTACAATAGCTAAGATCTGGAAACAGCCTAAGTGTCCATCAGTAGATGAATGGTACATATGCTCAATGGAGTACTGTGAAGCTGTAAGAAAGAAAGATCTCTTATCCTCTGAGACGACATGGAGGGACCTGGAAAGTATTATCCTAAGTGAAACAAGCCAAACAGAGAAAGACAAGTATCATATGATCTCACTTATTTGTGGAATATAATGAACATAATAGTCTGAGGAATGGGGTAGTCCCAGAGACGTGGAAGTGGGGTACAGACTGACAATCCCTAGAAAAGGGGGTGGTGGGGGAGAGATAAACCACAGAACTTATATGTATGTATGCAGGAACAATGGACATGGACAACAAAGCTGGGGACAAGGTGAGGAGGGAGGAAGAGGGGGAATCAGTGGGGGAGAAAGAAGAAACATCTGTAACAAAAATAAATTAATTAATTTTAAAAAATTAAAAAATAGACTTGAAAGTGCATATGCTGACACAAGCTTCCTTGCTGAAAGAGTATAAATGGCCCTGGCCAGTTTGGCTCAGCAGTTAGAGTGTTGGCCCATTGACCAGAGAGTCCTGGGTTCAGTTCCCGCTAGAGGCACGTACCTCGGTTGCAATTTGTCTCTGGCCCTGGTTGGGGTTCTGTGGGTGGCAGCCAGGTGATGTGTCTCTCTCACATTGATGTTTCTCTCTCTCCCCCGTCTTTCCCGCTCTATCTGAAGATAAATGCAAAAAAAATTAAAAAGAGTATGAATGGACTTTTTTTTTATTTCTCACCTGAGGATATTTTTCTGTTTATCATCAGATAGAGTGGGAGAGAGGGGGAGAGAGAGAGACAGAGAGAAACATCAATGTGATAGAGCCATATCAACTGGTTGCCTCCAGGAAGATCCTACCAGGGCCGAGGATGAACTGCATCTGAGGTACATGCCCTTGACTGGAATTGAACCCATGACTCATTGGTTTAAAGGCCAACTCTCTAACCACTGTGCCAAACCCTCCAGGGCTGAATGGAAATTTTTAAATGTTGGCCAGGAAGAAGGAAATTATATTCTAAAAACCTTCTCTGATTTGCTAATTTGGGTTTTTTTTTATTTTGTTTTCCTTTTTATTTTAGAGAAAGGAATGGGGGAGAGAGAGAAACATTGATATGAGAAGAAACATCGATCTGTTGCCTCCCGCACATGCCCCATCAGGGATCAAACCTGCAACCTAGGTTTGTGCCTGACTGGAAATCAAAACTGCCACCTTGTGGTGTACGGGATGATATTCCAGCCAACTGAGCCACACTGGCCAGGGCTGATTTGCTAGTTTTCTAAACAACTTTTAATTCTAAGTTGTGAAGAGTTATTTTTTCATTAGAAAGATTTTCAATGGATAACTTTCTTTTTCAGTATTTCCACAGGTAACACCGAAAGGAATTAATGGTATAGACTTTAAAGGGGAGGCAATAACTTTTAAAGCAACTACTGCTGGAATCCTTGCTACACTTTCTCATTGTATTGAACTAATGGTAAAACGTGAGGACAGCTGGCAAAAGAGACTGGATAAGGTAAGACTAGTTTTTCTTTCTTTTAAATAATAATCAGATTTTATTTAAGTTTTATATATGTGGATTGAATGTTTAACCAAACTAACTTCTTTGTTTTTGTTTTTTTGTTTTTTACTTTGGGGGGGGAGTACATGCCCCTAGTGGGAACGGAAGCCGGGACGCTGGTTTGCAGGCTGACGCTCCAACCACTGAGCCAAACCGGCCAAGGCCAAACTGACTTCTTAAGAAAAAACCCATTGAGATTGATAAAAGTAGTAGGTGGTACTACTCTGAAACTTTGCAGGCATCTTAACCTCATTTTCCTGATGAGGTTCATCAGCTAAGTATTCAGTTACTGTACACTGTACATTCTTGATAGGGTTTTAATAGCCTTTAACATTACCCAACTTTATTATATGGTATATGAAACTGCATTTAAGATACATAAACTAACTTAAACACCAATTTATAAAGTTAAATATTAACTTATTGCATTCATAACCATGTAAATTTTCCAAGGTCATTGTGATATTATTCAACATACATTATATTATTCATTAAATATTGCTTCCTGTTCACCTTTTCTGACCTTTATTTAAACTATAACTCGGATAATATTACAATATGAATATTTAGTTTCTAGTGTAAAAAATATGCCTTAGTGAATTTGTTTAGTAGGACTATATCTGTTTATAATTCAACATCAATAAAATAGTAAAATGTTAGAACCGAAACATGCCACCATTTTATAGAATAGGAACTGTGGCCCAGAGACTTGTCCAGAGGTGTTAGAAATAGCAGAGTTAGAAGAGTTTTACTGTTTTCTGTATTTCAGCTCTGGATATTAAGCAACATCAGTCAGAATCTCACTTATTAGTGAGTCATATTGCTTGTAGTATTTGAAGGTGTTATCAATTTGAGTAGGACACTAAGGAAAGCATTGTCATCGCTAATATAATGGCAGAGTGGCCATAGAATTTGAATATCACTGTGTATTTAAAGAGGTCCCCATGTTTAGAAGAAAAGAGAATTGTTCAGAGTTCTCAAGTACAGCAAGCCATGTTGACTAATAAAATATGTATTCTTTAAAAACAGGCAATAAAAACATCCATTTAAGGTACAAACATTTCATTATTATTCTGGAGTCAAACTTAAAAAATGTCTACTCTATATTCTTGTGAATCAAGTTTCATTTTTAGAAGATTTCCTGTGCACACAAAAAATAATGTATTGAGAAAATAGTACATCCCCTTAAATCTATTAGACTAATGATTCAAGAGAATCATTCAACTCATCTAGACTAGTTTATTTAAAACTTTTTGGTTTTAGCCTGGCCAGTGTGACTCAGTGGTTGAGCACCAACCCATGCACCAAGATGTCACCAGTTCGATTCCTGGTCAGAGTATATGCCCAGGTTGTGGTCCCGATCCCCAGTGGGGGGCATGCAGGATGCGGCCAGTCGACGTTCTCTCTCATTGATATTCTCTCTCATCAATGTTTCTATCTCTCTTTCCCTCGCCCTTCCTCTCTCTCTAGAAGCAATAAAGAAAATAAACCTTTTTGATTTTAGTCTCTCTATCCTTCACTAAGGAATCATCATTCATATCTAACCACACTGCCTAAAAATATTCTATTCATTTAAGATGTTTTCTAACATTAATAAACTCACATATGTGTAATTTGGCATGCCCTTTCACTTTCTCCTCTTTTTTGCTGTGCTATGTGTTTTTATGTTCATTTTTTTTTTTTTTTTTTTATCCTCACCCGAGGACATTTTTCCATTTTTTGCACAGATACAGTGGGAGGGAGAGAGAGGGAGAGAGAGAGAGAGAGAAACATCGACGTGAAAGGGACACATCGAGTGGCTGCCACCCGCATGACCAACCAGGGCCTGGGACAAACTGCAACCGAGGTACATGCCCTTAGCGGGAATCGAACCCGGGTCTCTCTGGACCGCAGCCCGATGCTCTAACCGCTGAGCCAAACCAGCCAGGGCTTATGTTCATTTTTAATTAAGATATGTTAAAATATATAGTGAAGTGCACCAGTCTTAAGTGTATTGCTTCATGATTTTTATACATTTGTATATACCCTTGTAAGCACCACTCAGATCCATATACAGAACTTTTATGGCAGAAGTGTCCCTCTTTTCCCTACCTAATCATACCACCACCTCAAGAGGTGATCACAGTTCTAACTTACATGATCATAGATTAGTTTTATCTGTTCTTGGACATCATATAAATTCATACAATATACACTCTTATCTCTATCTCCCCCCTCTGCAACATTGACTGTGAGGTTCATTCGTGTTGTTACATAGTGGTAGTTTGTTCCTTTTTATTGTATTTCATTGTATAATGAATTTTCATTGTTTGATTTCAATTTAATTATCTGTTTTTGCTGTTGATGGACGTTTAGGTTTTTATATTTTGACTATTTTGAATAATAGTCAAAATATTATGTGAACATTCTTGTATATATCTTTTGGTAGACATATGCACTAATTTCTCTTGGGCATATATCTAAGAGTACAATTGTTGATTCATGGGGTATATCTTTAGCTTTAGTGGATACTGACAAACAGTTTTCTAAAGTGGTTATATCAGTTTAAACTCCCACCAGCAGTAGTAGATGAGAATTCTAGTTGCTCTTCACCCTTGTCAGCACTTAATAGTGTCAGTTTTTTATGGGTGTTTTATTTATTTATTTTTTAATTTTTAACCATTCTACTGGGTCTGTAGTCCCAATTTCTCTTGAGTATACAATAAGCACTTAATCTTTGGGTTAATGAATTAATTTATTGATTTGCAATAGCTCTATTGCAGAGAGGGCATTTGGAAGTAGTTAGTTTTGTGTGAGTTTAATGTGGACTTTTAGCCCTTAAGTATTTGAGGTAAGGCATTTGAATTAAAAGCATTGGGTTTACAAGTTTGTTGAACTGAGTACCATTTGACACAATGCAGCCCATTGTTGTAGAAATAAGTATGAGATTGGTACCAGGGCCTTTTCTTTTAAGTGTTGACCTTGGGTCTTTTAACCTCTTAGAGCTGTACACAATATCTATAAAAAAAAAAAAAAAGAGGATTTAAATGGAAATCTAAGCTCTTTTGGGGCTCTAAAATAGTTTTAACCAGCAGTGGGAAAGTACAAGAAATTTCTTTCTTAGTTTATGTTCTTTTTAACATTTATTGATTCCACTTAATTGAGTTATTTTCTTCCTGGCATCCATTATTTGTTTTATGTTTTGTTTTTGTTTATAACAAAGTCAATTTTGCTTTTATTTGGGGGAAACAAACACAGGAATATATTGGAGGCATTCGTCTGGTACTGATTTATCTTTTGTAATGCACAGATACTCTGGCAGTTACTTAATCCTATTAAATATTCAGCCTGCCTATTAGGTGATTTTAGTGGTGATTTAAATGGTAGCTGGTGTATAAATATATAGCCCAGAATAATACTCATTTTTCATAGAAGTGGAGTTATTTTTTGGCCAAATCATAAAATTTCAGTGAAATGCAGAGAAAATTCCCACTTTAAATGATACATTTTTTACTTGCTTTCTTTCAAAAATAGGAAATGGAGAAAAGAAGAAGAATAGAGGAAGCATACAAAAATGCCGTGATAGAACTTAAGAAAAAATCCCACTTTGGAGGACCAGATTATGAGGTATGAAGTTATATTTTGATCTTAGAAAGAAAAACACATAGATATGCCTATCACAAAAGTGATTAGTTTTTAGATTACACTTTTGTAACCTTTAAATATTCTAAATATATAATTCTTCTATGTTTATTTTAATTGAATGTATATTCCATAATATATAAATGCTAGGTTTACTCTGAAATAAAATTTTTGACATTGCCTACAAAGTTTAGTAGAGGCTTTAAAAGGCTCATTATTATGACGGTCCACTTTATGGGACAAGTTCTCTCTCATGTGAGGACAATAATTTTGTTGTTAATCCTCACCCCAGAATATTTTTTCATTAATTTTTTTGTTTTAGAGTGGACGGGAGGGGGAGAGAGAGAAATTGGTTACCTCCCGCACAACCCCAATCTACTGGTGCCAGGGATTTAACCTGAACCCAGGTACATGCCCTTGCCTGGAATCGAACCCACAACCCTTAAGTTTGCAGGCTATCACTCTAACTGCTGAGCCAAACCACCCAGGGCTCAGTAGAGTATTAAAAGTCACTAGAAAATATATTAGAGTTCACAGTAGATTTTGGCAATTTTGTATTTTTCTCACATCCATAAAGACCAAAGTGATAACTGCTATCATTTGAGTGTCTTTGAAATGTTTTAATTTTATAAAGAGAATCCTGCAGGATAGCCTCTGGAGTGTTGTTACTGTTCTTTTTCATAATCCAGCTGGTCCCTAGGTGTTTATATTTACTTAGTGATATTTCATTGAGGTGTGCACTATTCTGTGTGTATGCCGTAGTTGAATAAAAAGTTTTTATGGCCCTGGCTGGTTTGGCTCAGCAGTTAGAGCATCAGCCTGCGGTCCAGAGAGACCTGGGTTCAGTTCCCGCTAAGGGCACGTACCTCGGTTGCTGTTTGTCCCTGGCCCTGGTTGGGTGGTGCAGGTGGCAGCCACTCGATGTGTCCCTTTCACGTCTGTGTGTGTCTCTCTCCCTCCAACTCTATCTGAACAAAATATGAAAAATGTCCTTGGGTGAGGATAAAAAAAAAAAAAAAGTTTTTATGCCCTGGCTGGTTTGCTAAGTGGTTAGAGCACTGGCCCTCATACCAAAGAATTGCAGGTTTGATTCTAGTCAAGGGCACGTATCTCATTGTGGTTTGGTCCCCTGCCCTGGTCAGGGTCGAACGGGAGGCAGCTGGTGCTTGTCGATGTTTCTCCCCCCTCATCCACCCCCCACTCTATCTAAAGATAAATAGAAAAATATCCTTGGGTGAGGATTTAAAAAAAAAGTTTTTGTGGATTTTTGTGTGTGTGTGTGTGAAATGAGTTGTGAGGGAGTCCTCATAACTCTAAAAAGAACTATTACATTAAATCAAGATTTCTCTTATGCCTATTCCAAATGATAGGAGTATACCATAGTTTCTCTCACTCTTCCTGTGTGGCCCCAAGTTGGGCTAGGAATGGGATGATGTTAGATACTTTTTCGTGGATTAGTGATGACTTGGGGTTATCAGTCTAACTGGGAACATTTTAGACCAGCAATATTCATATGTCATATTTTTATATTTAAAAATACAGGGAACCTTAAACCTAAGCCTATTTTATCAGCCTCCACTTTTGCCATAATGTGAAGCCATTACTCAATTTACAGTCCACTTGTTTCATCACACCAGGAACATACCTTGCTTGTTTCCATTTTGCTATTGTTCTTTATACTTTTATCTTCTGATACAGCTGAGGTTCTATTTGCATGAGAATCATTTGGAGAACTTACTAAACATCATATTCCAGGCTCCACCCAAATAATTTCTTTGTATGGGGCTCTGGGAATTTTCATTTTAACAAGTTTCCAAGGCAGTTGAGAACTACTGTTCTGCCATCTAACCAGGCTTTCAAACATCAGCTCAGCTGTTCTTTCTCCATGAATAATACTTGTCTTTGCTTCACAAGATCCCCCTCAGAACTCCTATCTCAGTGGTTCTCAACCTTCCTAATGGCGCAACCCTTTAATACAGTTCCTCATGCTGTATGTGGGTGTATCTGCATGTGGGCAGACCCGCCTGGAGACGGATAGAGGAGCGGTGTCTCAGTTCTTAAGACAATTGGAAATATGTGTTTTCCAATGGTCTTTGTCGACCCCTGTGAAGGTTGAGAACCACTGTCCTATCTGTATTTTTCATTGCCTATAGATCTGCAACTTTGTACTTACTTTTCTTCAATTCTATACAGTTTCTTTTGCAAAGCAAGTATTCAAGTTGCAAGTACTCAACCCTATCGCTGTAGCATGAAAGCAGGCATAGACAATACATATGAATGAGCATGACTATATTCCAGTAGAACTTTATTTTCACTTCATGTGATTCCTACATGTCATGAAATGTTGTTATTCTTTCTCTCTTTTTTTTTTTTTTTTAATCCTCACCCGGGGAGGACATTTTTCCATTTTTTGTACAGATAGAGTGGGAGGGAGAGAGAGGAAGAGAGAGAGAGAGAGAAACATCGATGTGAAAGGGACACATCGAGTGGCTGCCACCCGCACGACCACCAGGGCTGGGGACAAACTGCAACCGAGGTACGTGCCCTTAGCGGGAACCGAACCCGGGTCTCTCCGGACCGCAGGCCAACACTCTAACCACTGAGCCAAACTGGCCAGGGCTATTCTTTCTCTTTTTTTAACCATTTTAAAAATGAAATTTTTAACTTAAAGGCCATGTGAAAGTAGGCAATGGACTGGATTTGGCCCATGGGCTATAGTTCACCAATCCCTTTCTCTAGACAATATTGGTCAATATACAGTAAGTATATGAGTACTGATTGAGTGAATTAATTGTTATGATTCTACAAAGAGCATATGTTATTCATCTTTTATAAAATATTACCTAGTGTACTAACTGGTTCATAAATGTTTGTTGACTCACTTTTCAACTTTCCGATAGAGTTAATGCCAGAGTTATCAGTGTTTTCCGTTTTCTTAAATCACTTTCTTTTTCTCGATGTGTTTGAAAATAGGAAGGTCCAAACAGTCTGATTAATGAAGAAGAGTTCTTTGATGCTGTTGAAGCTGCTCTTGACAGACAAGATAAAATAGAAGAACAGGTATATCTGTTATGAACAATTTTAACACTAGGTATTCCTTGATGTATCTCATTTTATATAAATAGAATTTGAAAACCATGACACTGTGATAACTTATAAATTGAACTGTGTCTTCATTGAGTCACAAATGTAGAAGAATATGTCATATCCTTCATTGATCAATTTCCAAGCAATAGAAAGAAGATCAATGAAAGCATCAATGAAAGATCAAAGAAAGCATGCATAATTAATGTGAAATTAAATGAAAATATTCTGCCTATTCTCCTTGAAGTATCCAACTTCATCATGATCCTATTAATATCAAGCATATATTTACTCTGAGTAAAACAGTTTGAATTTCTTAAGTGCCATATAAATTCAAAAGAAAGATGATCAAGAATTTATTTTTATTCTATGTTGGTACCGTTCAGTTTTTATTATTAACTTTTTTATTACTTGAACTACTTTAACCCTCAATTGATAACTTTGCTCAGTGTTTTATCATCATTAAATTCACAGCAGTTATGCCCAGCTTCTTCTGTGGAAATGGAAGGAAAGCATTTCTTAAATCCTTTAACTCTAATTTCAAGATTACTTGAGCCTTCAATTCTATAACAATGCAGTTACCATGTATTACCACTAGATGGTACTTAAGGGTGAATTTTAATTACTTTTCCCAGACTTGAAACATCTTGCAAATAAATGATATGTTTATAGTTTTATACTACAGATTTATTTGCATTAAAAAGTTGCATGGCCCTAGCCGGTTTGGCTCAGCGCTTAGAGCATTGGCCTGCGGACCAGAGAGTCCCGGGTTCAGTTTCTACTGAGGGCACGTATCTCGGTTATAGTTTGTCCCCGGTCCTGGTTGGGGTCGTGTGGGTGGCAACCACTTGATGTGTCTCTTTCACATCGATGTTTCTCTGTCTTCCTCCTTCTCTCCCTCCCATTCTATCTGAGGATAAATGCAAAAAGTGTCCTCAAGTGAGGATAAAAAAAAAGTCAGCATGTTTGTTTCCCGCTATTGCTAAGGCAGTCATCACTGTTAATGCTCATTTTCTGGTCTATCTACCTGAGGGTAAATCACCTGCAATAGTGACTGTTCTTAATGTTCATCTTTCATTATATTTTTTATAACTCTCAGTCCATGGGATGACATATAAGTACCGCACACTAACTGATTGCGCCACTGGAGTGCCATATTTTTATAACTCAATGATAAAATGTTCATATCACATTCATTTATAAAGCTTATTGCTCACTTTAATATCTAAAAGATGCTACGTAGCACTTAATAAGAGTGGTAACTTTCAGTTCCTAAATGACCTCTAATTTTGGATGCCAAATGTATTACCTAAAATAACATCATAGCATCATTGTGTTTGGTTTTTTAGAATTTTTTTGTCCTCACTGTTTTGTTTTTCTCTAATATGGAAATAGTAGTGAACTGAGGTCATGACAACTTTGTTTTAGTCTTAGTTTTACCACTGACTAGGAAGCTATCACTTAAATTCTCTGGGCCTTTGATATCTAAACTTTGAAACAGAGTTAGAGAAGATGACTCAAATCATACCTCTGGCTCTACAATTCTCTTTTCAATATCAACACAGTGGTTGAGTTAGAGTTGAAGCGAATCAATGAAAACTTCTATGAGCTTTAGAAAAAAAGAAATATTCATGGGACTATCAATTAATTTCATTTCAAACTATTTTTGACACTCTGGTAGATACTCTACAAAACAAGTCATTAAACAGACCATGACTTTCCCTGCCTAATAACTAGGTATGTCATTATGACAAAGGTAATTACATTATGGTAATGCTGTAGAGTAGTAAGCATCAGTAATCCATGAAATCAGTTCCAAAGGTTCAGATCATTTCCCTCATTGTATGCGTTAGATATTGCACAGAGCTCTCAACAATACAGCCACTACATAGACATTCTTCAGTGACACCGTTTTGAGTTTACATTATTTACCAACATAAAGAAAGGTGTACAAAAGAGTGGTGAGTGAGCAGTTGGTTAGGTGTCCTCTTGTGTACTGAAAGGTTGACGGTTCGATTCCCAGTCAGGGCACATGCCCAGGTTGCAGGCTCAGTCCCTGGTGGGGATGCATGCAGGAGGCATCCCATTGCTGTTTCACTTTCACATCAGTGTTTCTCTCTCCCTCTCCTCCTCTTTCTAGAAATTAAAGAGTCTTTTAAAAAAGTGGTGAGTGAGAAATTAGATCTTTGCGGTTTTATTAAATAGAAATTACCAGTTGTATTCTGCATAGTTAGAAAACGGGCACACAGCCCTGGCCGGTTTGGCTCAGCACTTAGAATGTCAGCCTGCAGTCCAGAGAGACCCGGGTTCGGTTCCTGCTAAGGGCGCGTACTCGGTTGCAGTTTGTCCCCAGCCCTGGTTAGTCGTGCGGGTGTCAGCCACTCGATGTGTCCCTTTCACCTCGATGTTTCTTTCTCTCTCTCTTCCTCTCTGTCCCTCCCACTCTATCTGAACAAAAAATGGAAAAATGTCCTCAGGTGAGGATAAAAAAAAAAGAAAGAAAGAAAATGGGCACACAGACAACACAGCACAGTTTCTGCTATGATACATTTAGTAAATAATTTATTGAATAAGTGAGAAGAAACTAGGGAAGCTGAGGAGGAAGAAAGAGGTAAAATGGCAGCTTAACAGGAATGAAATGCTTGGATGAAGATAGAATGAATACCTTTATGGAAAGGAGACAGATATATGTGATATGTATTTTGGAATGTAGCTGAAGCAAACACTGATAATTGATTCAAATGATATAGTCCTGCAGGGTCCTTGATGAGGTGGAATGATTGGAATAGTTGGGCAGAGTTTGGATAAGAAAATCAGCAGTGTTAAGATTGATTCATGGTAAATAATGTCATGTTGGCATTGGAGAGTCCACGTGGGAGCAAAATAAAACAATTAATCTCTGGTCTAAGTAACAGTGGAGTCCAAAAGAAGAGGTTGAATTGGGACACATAAAGTAAATGGCAGGATTTGGCAAGATTTATATATTTACAGTAGTTTTCTGATTGAAATATTTATAAGTGTTGCCAGCAAAACGACACCAGATGTTAGACTGGTAGAGTCAGACCGGACCTCATTTCAGCAACCTCAGTACTTGAGTTCTGGCTAAGAAAGAATTCAGAGTCAAGAATCGAACATAAGCAAAAGTTTATTAAGAAAGTCACAGAGATAGAAGAAGTGAGTCATAGAAGAAATGGCCTCAGGAAACAACTTACAGAGGCAAAAGAAGTGCCTTTGTTATTTAGGAAAGAGAGAGGCAAGGAAAATGCACCTGGGGGAAGGGAGTGGGGAAAGACACAGGTGATCCATAGAGAGAGCCGCACTGGGTCTTCAGTCTCGAGGGTATTTCGTGGTCTCAAGGAGGATCCCAATAGAATATTCATCAGCTTTCCAGATGTGTCCTTTCAGGGTCCTTGTCTCTACTGATTGGCCAGTGCCAGGGCAGAGGGATCATTAGTCAATGCAGCTGCTCCTGGGGTCAGCCATAGCATTGCTTGTCTGGTTTTGCTGCTTTTCTGGGCCTGGAACTGACACACAACTGAGGCCTAGATGTTATCCCTAGTTTAACCTAAACTCTGTCTCTTTGTTCAACAGATCCAAGGCTTTGTTCCTAAGATTATTTTATGTGGGTCAGAACCTCATTGTCCTGGGGCTTAATCAATGGAGTAGTTGTGCAAAGGCTTGTATGGAAGTCATATGAGGCTATTCTCCTGCCCCCTTGTTCCTTCCCCCTCTAAAGGAGTATAACCTACATGACTAGCAATATGCTCAGGGAGGAAAGGTTATCCTGGGGAGTGAGGTACTTGTTTTGTCCATAGCTAGGCACCCAGGACTTTACCTGGCCTATCGTCTTTGCTCTGCTCATGTCTTTCAAACTGCCTACCACATAAGCGCTAAAGTGTTCAATAATTAAATGTTGATAGTTTCAGGTTATAGGTTATATTAACCATTCTTTAGCTGCAAAATACACTTAAAAACCTTTGCATCTTAACATTATGTTTTCTTAGTCACAGAGTGAAAAGGTCAGGTTACATTGGCCTACATCCATGCCATCTGGAGATGCCTTTTCTTCTGTGGGGACTCATAGATTTGTCCAAAAGGTAAGCCTAATGTCCAAGTTTACTAAAAGTGTATGTTGTATTCTTCACTGTTGGTGGAAATATCTTGTTGTATTAGTTTTCTCCCTTTTCTTGAATTTAAGTAATGAGATTTTTTGGTATTATGTTTTCTTTCATATACATCCTCCAAAACAGAAATCTTATGAACATAATGTTCTTTCTTTTTTTATTTAAGGGGTAAGAGGGGAGGTGTTGGTAGGGAATGACTGGTCCAAAATAGCCAAATGCATAGCCATTTATATTAAGTTTCTTTTTTCTTTGGGGTTAAGTGGTATTATTTTATGTTATTGAAAGTACTACATTCGTTTCAGAAAGATTTTAGAGCAGAACACATAATAGGTGCATGGAGTCAGCACTTGCGGCTGAGCTTGTTTCATATAGTGCTTTGTTCTCTTTATCTTGTGTTTGGAAGTTGGTACTGAATGCTCTGTTGTGCCTTTGTTCTGATTACTTGGTTTTTTCTTTGTCTGTCTCTGGTAGCCCTATAGTCGCTCTTCCTCCATGTCTTCCATTGATCTAGTCAGTGCCTCTGACGATGTTCACAGATTCAGCTCCCAGGTACTGTATGAATGTATAGAGTGGACTTGAGTCTTTCTGTGCTATATTCCAGCCTGCTTTCCCAGTTCTGAGAAATCTTGGTTAGGCCACTTGTTTTTGTTTGAATTCTAAATAGTTGTTATAAGCATTAAAAAGGCCCTCCTTGTCTACTAAATTGTTCCTCTATCAAGCTTGCATGTGCCCTTTGTTTCCTCACTGTGACTAGCTTGTAATTTTGCCATATAGGAGGCACTCCTGAAAGATTTCAAATTGAATTGAAACAGTTGAAGATATGTGGTTTTTAAATATTATGTAATATCTGATTTCTTCAGATAGGATTCAGCAACTTTGATGGATATGGTCTGCAGGATATGTTACAGCATAAAAGCAGGATTCAGTAGTCTCACTTCTAATCTAATAAAATATCATAATTATATTCAAGGAAATAGCTTTTTAAATAATATTTGTCTCATTACCATTATACAAAACACTGTTGAACAGGTTGTACTTTCCTTATGCACTTTACTGTTGGATATTATACATTAATGTTTCTGTTCATATGCTAAATCTATAGAAATTGGTTTTAATTGGTTATTTGATATCATCAGTAAGGATTTAGGAATTTAATATAGGAAGCTGGATGCTTGGAGTCTCTGCACTCATAATACAGTTATTGAAACAGTTCATTTTAGCATCTGCATTAGCTGGGAAAAGAAATTTTTTTATCTTCCCATCTTTGCAATTCAGATTTGTATCTCTATGGTGATTGCATTTTGTTGGATTGCATTATGTTATTTTAAGAACCTGAATTCCCAGTCAAACTGACAAAGTTTAAATTCTGGCTAGCTACACAATATTGTAACTCTTCTGCACTTCACTTCTATAATCTAGCTAGGACTCAGATCTACCTAGGCCCTAGCATATAGTCAGTGCTCAGTTAAGTGAGCTTTTAATAACATTATAATAACGTAATTTCTTTGAGCTAGTCAAAATTACCTACATCATTTTTTTCTCTCTCAGGGTATTCTAGTAAAAGTTTTTAAAAGCCATAATGTAGCCCTGGCCGGTTTGGCTCAGCGGTTGGAGCGTCGGCCTGTGGTACAGAGAGACCCGGGTTCGGTTCCCGCTAAGGGCACGTACCTCGGTTGCAGTTTGTCCCTGGCCCTGGTTGGTGGTGCGGGTGGCAGCCACTCGATGTGTCCCTTTCACGTCAATGTTTCTCTCTCTCTCTCTCTCTCTCTTCTTCTCTCTCCCTCCCACTCTATCTGAACAAAAAATGGAAAAATGTCCTCGGGTGAGGATAAAAAAAAAAAAGCCATAATGTAAAATAGATTCCTATTAATTTACACATGCAAATAAAATTTATATTACTTTTTAAGTATGCAGTAGAGAAAATAAGTCTAAGAATCAAATTGTGTTTTTCTGACTTTTGCAATTTTTTCTTCTTAGACATTTTTGAGATAGAGATGTATTAATTTATTAGAAATCACCCATAGCAAGTATTTTTAATATGGTATTACAGTATTTTACCTTTTGCTCATCCATTTATGCATGCCTTTAAAAAGTGACTCGTATTCACAGTAAGTTCTTTACAAAACTAAATAATCTGGGAGACTTTGGTTTATTCTTCTAAGTTTCACCTTATATTAAAATGGTAAAATAACAGACTAACTAAAACCTATCATCAGTACTGGTCACCATTTTCCCCTGAAATATAGGAATAAATTGGTTATAAATGAAAGAAAATGTAATAAGAGCAAGAAAAGAATGTAAGCCACTGATAGGTGCCTAAGAATTAGGGCTTCAGAACCCAGATCAGGACCCTGGCTGTAGAGGGCTGTGGAGCCAGCTGAAAGCCTTCAAGTGCAGATGCATATATCACTGAGAGATAGGTGCCCAGCTTTTCTTAAGACTTCTGCCAAATTGTAGCTTACTTCCTTACCTAATTTTTTGTGTAACTCATGTAAGTATGTTGAAAAGTCTTTCCATCGGGCTTTATCCCTAATATGTGATGCTTGTGATTGATTAGATTCTATTTAAACTTTTGATTATTGTACTATTTATGCCAAAAGGGGCAAAAAGGAAGTTAAATACCATTGAGGTCTTCCATGTGTTTATTGTCCTTGCTTAAAGTATTTGTTGTTATTTACCGGACTTGGGCTCTGGCATTTAACCATTGATTAATTGGGCTTTGGCATCTGTGTACAAGTCTTGGTTCATGGCTGCTTTGTTTCTTGTTGAAATTATGTTTGTAATTCTGATTGGATAGGATAATTAAACAGAATTACGAGATACCCTGAAAAAATAACTTCCAATAAGTTTAATCTACTAGAAGATTAATAGCAAATCATGAATTTGTCTGCTGGTCAGAAATAAGGAATAAAGTAGCTCTAAATCAAAGTATCCAGAAAGCAGAAAGGACTTAGATTTATAAATGGATCATTTGGTCACATTACTTGCATAGTACAATTCCCATCTAATGATGTCACCTCAGCCCTGGGTTACTTGGCTCAGCAGTTAGAGCGTTGGCCTGCAGACCAAAGGGTGGTAGGTTCAGTACCTGGTCAAGGGCACCTACCTGGGTTTTGATCCTGGCCCCAGTCAGGGTCATGTGGGAGGTAACAAATCAGTGTGTCTCTCTCACATCAATGTTTACCCACCCACCCTTCCTCCCTTTTATTCTATCTAAAAATATCCTTGGGTGAAGATTAACCAAAAAAAAGAAAAAGAAAAAAAGTTGACCTAGCTATATTCCCAGGTCAGTTATCTTTTGCTATACTGACACTGAATATTATAATTTAGTTAATTTTTGCCAATCTGATATACTAAAAGTGGTATTTTTGCTTCTTGGGTTATAATTGGAGTACCATCACCTTCAAATATGTTTTATCCATTTATTTCATAGTTCATTTGGTATAAAGATGCGTGTTAGCTCATCATTTTTAACTCGATAAGTCCCAAAATATCAAGGTCACAATTTCTAAAATTATGCTTAGTCTAATTAAAACTTGCAAATACTATTAAAGCAGGGGAAACCTGCTTCAATAATTTTGGTCCAGTCTCTTTTTTTTCCCCCTAATAATAGAGTAACATTACTTCCTAGGATATAAAATTTTGAGCCTAATAAAATGGTAAATTCGGCTTGTGTTTATTCTTGTTATCCAACTTAATAATGGTCCCTTATTTCCCACTTATTTTTTTATATTCAGTCATAACTGAAACAGTAAAGGGAGTAGATTATTAGGTTAGATCTGAAGCGTCTGTGGTTATGAATTCCCTAATTACTGCCTCTGTAGTAAAATTAGCTACTTCATATTTTATTGCAGTGAGTATAAAATTCATAATAATAAAATTATACCTGTATCATCTTTGTTATTAATCTTAATATTATTACCTAGAGCAGTGGTTCTCAACCTACCTAATGCCGTGACCCTTAATACAGTTCTTCATGTTGTATGTGGGCGGACCCGCCTGGAGACAGACAGAGGAGCGGTATCTTGGGTTCCTAAGACCATTGGAAATATGTGTTTTCTGATGGTTTAAGGCGACCACTGTGAAAGGATTGTTGTCAACCCACACGTTGAGAACCACTGACCTAGAGGAAGATGCTTGGATAAAGATTTCATGATTAAAGGCTTTGCAGAAATGGTTACTCAATAATTGAGCACTTCATTACTTTCTTAATTTCCTGTGAATATAGCACTGAATACATCTTATTTGTTTCTTTGTTAGACTTTTTCAAGTCCTCTTAAGTTAAGGAAGTAAATAAGAACTGAAAACTTTTATAGATGCAGTGGTAACCTTTTAGGAATACCTTTTTTTCTTTCATTCATCTGTCTAGAAAAACAATGTTAAATGTACTTTACATTGTTTTAACTTATATTACCTTTTGTCAATTTATATTTGTGGAATCTGGTTTCTTTTGGACCAAAACAAATTATTTTCAAACTTTTGAAATCTCTAATCCAGGAATAATATTCCAAACAAAAGCACAATTACCTGTATGCACTCCAACAAACGAGCTAAATGGAACTAAAACATTTTATAAACAATTCACTTTGTTTTTTTAACAGAATAAAATCCTTCATATTCTTCTTTCATAAGTAATGCATTAAAAGTTGGCTTAGTTGGGGGAAGCTTTTTTTGTGTGTGTGCCTCTAATCTTATAATAAATGTAGGTGTTCTTAATTCCCAGTGTCTGACCTAAAAAGTATATGTTCAGATCTAAGATCTTTAAGATCTTGGGATCTAATAAGGGTAAAAATTTCTCCAAATCATAACGTGACACCGACAAATGAAGGCAATGCTACTGTGGCTTTTTTATTTATGGATACTAACAGGAACTTTCTTTGCTCTCCTCTTTTGGAAATGAGATACATTTTGAATGTATTTGTAACTTGGAATCCCACATTAGTCATCCTTACCTTCTAAACTCATATTTCAAAATTATAGAGGCACATAGGGTTTCTAGGCAGCCCCTGAAGTTATGTTTTCTACTTTGGGCTTTCTAAAATTATAGAATGTACTATTCATCACATTTAAATTTTCTCTTAAGTCTGTAACCCCACACCATTCACATTGTTTTGAGGATCATGAATAAATAAAATAGTATGTTAGTGTTTGTTTAATACAGAAATAGATTATAGAATCTCAGCATATATTTTTATCAAAAACCTTTTTGTGATCACTGCCAATTAAGGAGACACTTAAAGCTTTCAGTAACCAACGTTGCATTCTGAGATCCAGAAAGCTTGATGTAGCAGAAGTACATGTCACAATACCATATGGATAATATTCTTCAGTGTAGAAAACTCATATCCCCAGGATTAATAATTTTAAGAGTTTCTGCCCCAAAACCATTAATTTTGTATTTAAAGTATTTATTTCAAAATATATATAAACTTCGTTCTTGTTTTTTATCCCTAATGAACACAGTAGACTTTATGTAAAATAAGTAGTTAAACTTAGGAATACATTTTTTAAGTGAAATACAGTATACATATTTTTAAGTTCTTTTCTATATTCTCTAGTGTATTATTTCATAAAACAAAATTATGAGTAAAAGATTAGAAAATAGAGCTTAAACTGTCTGCATAGATGGTAAAGGAGCCAGTTCCTTCAGCAATAATCTTTTTATCATTTCAGTGAAGTAACAAAAGTTTTGTTACTTTTGTAGGGAAATCTTGATATATAATGAGTTTTCTAGTATCTCAACATAGTCTTAAATATAGAAACACTGAACTAGATGGTCTCTTCATGCTCCTTTTACCCGTAGAGTTTAATGATTTCATGCTTTTAAGACATCATTTCTGTAAGGAAGCATTTTATAGTAAAGAAAGGATTTTTTTTTTAAGAAAATGCTTATTTTGGTCACTGATTCACATCGGGCCCAGTATATGTGTGTTAACTGATTGGCTTATATTACCCACATTTCTCCTTCCTGTCATTAATTTACAATATGATATCTGGAATGTAGACTAAACTCTTCAAACCTACTAACTTTTGTGCATTTGGTTGCTCAGCTTTCTAAGAGCATCATTTCTGAACTGAAGTAAACTGAGCATCATTCTTTCTTAGAGATTATATCATTGCTATTAATTGGAGGAAGATTCTTATAGCTTTACTTTTTTTTTCCCCCAAGGTTGAAGAGATGGTGCAGAACCACATGACTTATTCATTACAGGATGTAGGTGGAGATGCCAACTGGCAGTTGGTTGTAGAAGAAGGAGAAATGAAGGTAATTCCTAATAAAATGTTATAGGTTGCTAATTGCACCTCTATTACAGCCATATTGTCATTACTATTGATTTGAATCAGTATCCTCATTTAAAAATTACTTTTAGCCCTGGCCAATTTGACTCAGCGGTTGGAGCAACAGCCATGGGCCAAAAAGTCACGGGTTCGATTCCAGTCAAGGGCACATACCTTGGTCACAGTTTGATCCCCAGCCCTGGTTGGGGTTGCATGGGAAGCAACCAGATGGTGTGTCTCTCTCATATCAATGTTTCTGTCTTTCTCCCTTTCTCCCACTCTATCTGAAAATCAATGGAAAAATATCCTCAGGTGAAAATTTTTAAAAAATTGCTTTTAAACAAATAATTACATATGATCAAAGAAGCACCAGATATTGACAAATAGAATGTCCTTTTGCTTCCTTGGTTTAGCTTTTATATAATTTCTTTGTGATCAAACCTATGTACAAATCATTCTATTTTGCCTAGGCCATGGAGAAATAAAATTTTGTGGTTTAAATATGAACAGGTCACAGTTAACTGATGGCTCTCTATTTGGATATTTCTCTTTTAAAATTTTTAATTTTTTAGAGAGAAGAAAGGAGAGAGAGAAAAAAACAACACATTGATTAGTTGTTCCACTTTTTTTTTTTTTTGGTACATGCCCCTAGCGGGAACCAAACCCAGGACTCTCTGGTCCGCAGGGTAACGCTCCAACCACTGAGCCAAACTGGCCACGGCCCACTTATTTTTGGTTTTTAGTGTTTTTTTTTATTTCTCACCAGAAGATATTTTTCCATCTATCACTAGATAGAGTAGGAGAGAGGGAGAGAGAGAGACAGAGAGAAACATTGATGTGATAGAGCCAGATTGACTGGTTGCCTCCCTCAGGACCCGACCAGGGCCAGGGACTAACTGCAGCCGAGGTACATGCCCTTGACTGGAATTGAACCCGTAACTCATTGGTCTTTGAGAATTTTCAGTAAATAATGCCTGATTTAAATAATATATTTATTTTTTTACAACTCAGAATGTCATTCATTACATATGCATATTTTTCATAGTCGAAGTTTACCTTGAATTTGTAGCTTTAAATTAATGTGTTAATAATTTGAAATTTAATTATAGCAGAATATTTATGTTCCTTAAAGAGATTTTCATAAATAAAATCCTAAAAAGCTGTTAAATTTACAAACATACTTTCCAGTTTGTACTTTAGGAGTTTGATTTTTATTTTTTAAACAGGTTTTTAAATATGTCCTATATAGGTATATAGGAGAGAAGTAGAAGAAAATGGAATTGTTCTGGATCCTTTGAAAGCTACCCATGCAGTTAAAGGAGTTACAGGACATGAGGTCTGCAATTACTTCTGGAATGTTGACGTTCGGAATGATTGGGAAAGTAAGCTGTTATTATTAACATTTTAATATAATTATTATTTAGAATTTTAATATCAAATCCAACCTGGTTTTCTGCATTTGTTTTTTATAATGTCAGTATAGAAATATCTTGAGAATCATATAGGGGACTGATAATCTTTACATTTAAATAGAGTTTTTCACAGTATAAAATGCTTCTCAGTATATAATAAATAGCATTTGATTTCATACCTCAGCAACCCTGCATAGGTAGGTAATAAAGTAAAATTCAGATAGGTCAAGTGACTTGTTAAAGGCCACAGAACTAGTTAATGGAAAGCCAGGACTACAATTAAGGTGTCTGTTTTATCTACTTTTCTCCAAGACTGTTTTGTTTCCCTGGTAAATTCTAGATGAATCCTCCTGTGGTTTGTTTAGTTACTTTGGCAGGGTGGGCTTCCCTTAGGCACTACATTTCGTAAATTTCTGAACATCATAAGATGTAAATCAGTGGCAGTTTGACATTCTTTTCCCATAAATACATTCACCTAAGCTTAGGTAGAATAGTTTATTCAGTTTCAGTAAATTAGGGATTAAAGGGAGAGGTCATAGTGTTAGGGAATACTTTGTGCCTGAGTAATACAGTGGTGATTATAATTGCTTTCTTGCTGTGGAAGCTAAATTTTGGACCAAAGGAAATGAGATTTTCTGGTGATCAAGTCTCACAGCCATTATCTATAGCCCTAATACTACGTAATAACTACCTTCCATTTGAACTTAGCCCAAGTGGGGCAGAATCCCGTTCATTCTACCATTAGTTCATTTGTCATTGACTTTCTTTTTCTTTTTCTTTTTTTTTTTTATCCTCACCCGAGGACATTTTTCCATTTTTTGTACAGATAAAGTGGGAGGGAGAGAGAGGGATGTGAAAGAGACACATCGAGTGGCTGCCACCCGCACGACCAACCAGGGCCGGGGACAAACTGCAACCGAGGTACATGCCCTTAGCGGAAACCAAACCCGGGTCTCTCCGGACCGCAGGCGGACGCTCCAACCGCTGAGCCAAACCGGCCAGGGCTGTAATTGACTTTCATTATTAGTGAATTAATCACATTTTAGGAAAAGGTAATATGTCTTTTTGGCTACTAATATTTTCCCTTCATTTCAGCAACTATAGAAAACTTTCATGTGGTGGAAACATTAGCTGATAATGCAATCATCATTTATCAAACGCACAAGGTAAATATCTCTTCACCCTAAAAGGATTTCACTGTAGTTGAAACTGAGACATATAAATGGTCTAAAGTAAAATTTGGCAGGAAATAAATGCCAGAAAAAATCTAAAGACATTATTAATAATTTAGGAATGAAATATTTTTCTAGCATCTAGTCTCTATAGGAGATAAATGATAGTTATTGAATATGAAAGTGAATCATAGTTTCCTGTAACAATATAATAAGGGGAGTAGAAAGTATGTTATTAGCGTGTGTTGAGACTAACAGATATGAAAGTGATCTTAAGTGGATTATCTGAAAGCAGTGGAAAATTATTGAACATGACTATTGAGAAGTTGTTTATACACCAGAGCACATAGATACATTGTGTTCATTTAAATTACTTCCCTTTTACTTCATTTCTTTCTTTGCTAATCTAGATTTAAAATTTTAGAATAATATTCATCTTCCTTTATTCTATTTTCTTCCCTTCTGAAAATTGCCAAATAATATTTCAAATAAAGAATAATAAAATAAAGTTTTGGAAGATCCACTAAAAGCAATATTGTATATTATATAGGAAATGTAATGATTCAATAAGTACTTCATTTTTCTCTTTTTCAGATGGTTTTTTAATTGAGCTGAATATGTGAAAGTATTTGAGGTTTGCTCTGTATTTCTTAAGCCTTGTTACCTAAGGTATCTTGTATCTAATGACTATGAGCGAGACTTCCTTTTACATGGTAGCTGCTCAAAAAATGTAAACAAGATTCTATTTCAGTATACAGATTTGTGGGGGACAGGGGTTTAAGTGAAATCTAAAATTTAATAGATGTTAAAATATAAATTAATTGCCCTGTAATTTAGAATGAAAATAAATAGCCAATCATTTAGAATCAGAAGAATCTTATCTGAAGATAATTGATCATGGAAAACAATCTACTGCAAATATTTCACTTGGTAAATAGTAGATGGAGGAGAGGATTATATAAATTGTATGATATTTCTTCTCTCCCCCATCTCTGGTTAATCCTCACCCGAGGATATTTTTCCATTGGTTTTTTAAAATTATTACTTAGAGTGGAAGGGGAGAGACACACATCAGTTGGTTGCCTCCCCAATGATCCTGACTGGGACAAGGGATCGAACCTGCAACCCAGTTACCTGCCCTTGGCTGGGAATCGAATCCACGACATTAACCACTGAGCCAAACCAACCAGGGCTTAGGTTTATTTCTTGAAAAACATCGATGTGAGAGAGATACATCAGTCGGCTGCCTCCTGCATGCCCCCTACAGGGATCAAGCCCACAACTTGGGCATGTGCCCTGACCAGAAATCGAATGGGACAGTGCTCAGTCCACTGAGCCACACTGGCCAAGCAGTAGTTCAATTTTTCAAATGATTTTTACTTCTTTCACAGAGAGTGTGGCCTGCTTCTCAACGAGATGTACTATATCTTTCTGCCATTCGAAAGATACCAGCCTTTACTGAAAATGACCCTGAAACTTGGATAGTTTGTAATTTTTCTGTAGATCATGACAGTGCTCCTGTAAGTACATAGTATAAATGTGTATAGTTGTACAATATAAAGCTAACTGTGCAGTGCAAAAATGATAAACACATGTCACACATAGATACTAGATTTGATCATGATTCTTAGATTTTTGTGTTATTTTGGCTTCTTGGAATAATAAAGCCCATGTGTGATCTGAAGGACAGTAGTCATGGCTGTGAACATTTCAGCAGGTCTCTTTTCCTTTCCTCCTGAGGTGAGGTGATACAGAGCTAATAGGTAGTAGACGTAGACTACTTTTCACAGTTGCCCCTCAAACCATGATCACCTACTGGCAAAGCCTCTGGTTGCTGCCTCAATTTAGCTTCGCTTACTACACAAAAGGAAGGGAAATCATTTCTAATGTCTTATCAGCTTATTATTTGTTATTATGTGTTATGTGTAACACAGCTTATTATGTGTTATTTCTTGGTTCTTATAAGATTTTGTTGGAGATTTTGATGAGTTGGGGTTTCGGTAACTAGTATAGTATTAGACCAGTAGAGATTACAAAATGCTGGGTAACTGTTATATTGGTGTCTTGTTTTTATTTTTTGTTTTGGCAGCTGAATAATCGCTGTGTTCGTGCCAAAATAAATATCGCTATGATCTGTCAAACCTTGGTAAGCCCACCAGAGGGAAACCAGAAGATTAGCAGGGACAACATTTTATGCAAGATTACATATGTAGCTAATGGTAGGTATTTTGTTACTTGTTTTTGCTACTTGGTAATGTGGATGTTCTTAGTATGATCTACACGACAACTGACCATTTGGACAAATAACATTACAAATGACTTTTGAGTTTTTATCCTCTAGATTAGTAATTTTTAATTTAGAATGGTATGTATCAAAACTATCAGAAAACTTTCAAAATACACATACCTGAATTTCACCTCAGAACGATTATATCGTAATTTTGGAAACTGAGGCTGGATAGGTACATTTTAAAACTTTTTATCAAGCTCACTATCACATATTCTTAGTTTTATGAACCGTTTTATGAAGTATTTACCTAAATATATGTAGAATTAGGAATGTAAGCAACAGTGGGAAAGGAAATTAGCAGTTTTTATTTTTATTGTCAGGGTTGCTCATTTTCTGCATCACTGATTGACCCCTGATCCTTATTAGTTGCTAGTTACATATTTGTTTTATATTGGCTTGGTGCTGGACAGCCCTGTTGCTTTGGTTCCTTACTACATCCATTTCCTTCCTGCAGTAATTATTGAAGTCCATCTAATCAAATCCTCAAACCTTTATACAAGACCGTAACTGCTAGCGTGTTTAAGGAGAAGGTTATTCCTGAGTATTTGATTATGGAAGAGTTTGATGAATAAATCTGGCTCTGGTAACCTAAAGTATAGTTATTCTAATATTTACATATAATTTAGGAACGTAAGAACAATTTAGGAAGGTAATAAATGCTTTCTTATTTGCTCTCTCTTCTTGTTTGGTGGTTAATGTAAAGGATTAATGGTCAAGCCCTGGCCGGTTTGGCTCAGTGGTTAGAGCGTCGGCCTGCGGTCCAGAGAGAGACGGGTTCGGTTCCCGCTAAGGGCACATACCTTGGTTGCAGTTTGTCCCCGGCCCTGGTTGGGTCCTGCGGGTGGCAGCCACTCGATGTGTCCCTTTCACATCGATGTTTCTCTCTCTCTCTCCCTCCCCACTCTATCTGAACAAAAAATGGAAAAATGTCCTCGGGTGAGGATTAAAAAAAAAGGATTAATGGTCAAGACTTTAAGAGATGCTGATTGTTCCAACAAGAAGACATTTTTTAAGGCAAAGGAACAAAATGTGTGCTTCAAGTGTATTTGGAGACATGTATCTTAACATATTTTAATTTTCCTTTAATTCACAGTGAACCCTGGAGGATGGGCACCAGCCTCAGTGTTAAGGGCAGTGGCAAAACGAGAGTATCCAAAGTTTCTAAAGCGTTTTACTTCTTATGTCCAAGAGAAAACGGCAGGAAAGCCTATTTTGTTCTAGTGTTAACAGGTACTAAAAGATATATGTTATCCTTTTAAACTTTGACTAACATGATTCTGCAGATAGTAAAATTTAGTTAACTGTTAAAAGTAGTTTCTGTGTTTTATGTTGTTCCCAGACAAAGAGTTGTAGTTTTTATAGCCTTAAAACTTAGTTTTAAAAAAAAATCTTTCTGCTCATATTAAATGATACTGTTTATTTAAAGAAGTTTCAACATTATAAAACTCCAGAATTTCAGAAGTACAAATTCCCTATATCTTTTCCTTCGCAGAAATTGCTCTTAGGTTTGTGGTATAGTCTTCCATATTTATATGTAATGTATTTTTTTATTGTTTTAAAAAAATGTGTTTATTCTATTACTGACTGTTTTGAAGCTTGTTTTTCTACTTAACAGTATATTTTAACTATTATTCCACACAAAGATATTAGACGTATACAACTGTCTCATTGTTTTAACATCTCTTATACAAGATTGCAGAATTTATTAACTAATCCCCATGGTAACATCTGTATTGGTTCTATATACTGTCAAATAATGCTGATTGAACCTATTTATGCAAGGAGCAGGAATCTTGAACTTTTTGTAAATAAGTGATATGTTTACATGGTTCAAAAGTTTAAAGTGTGAAAGATACGCAGTAAAATGTATTCCCTGCTCCCTGTTCACCCATTTTGTCCCCCACTTCACACACACAAAAATGTATAACTGATATTACTAGATTCTTGTGTATTTTTCTTAATGCCTGAATAAGCAAGTACAATTGTATTCTTCCAACACATATTCTTTTGTTAGTGAAGAAAACGTAGCATATTATACACACTATTCTGCATCTTGTTTATACCTGCTTTATTATCTTGAAGATCTTTACATATCGGTGGGGAGCTTCTTTTTTTAAGGCTAAACAATATCTCATTGTATGGATGTACATACTTTTTTTAACCTCCATTTGTAGATATTGAAGTTTTTTCCAGTTTTTGTTAGAACAAACAGTGTTGCAGTTATATCCATATGTCATTTTGTTGCACTTACAAGTTTATATTTAGGATAAATTACTTGATGTGACAATGCCAGCACTCTGGGTGGGGGTGGAGGGGTTGTATTTGTAATTTAGATGTTGCCCTCCATGGAGGTTGTATTAATTAATTTACCATCTCACCAGCAATAGTATATTGGAATACCCTGACACACAATGTGTTAAATGAAATTTTCTGATTTTTGTTTTCCAGCTTGATAGATAAAAAGTACTCTTGCCATGTAGTTTTAATTCTATTTCTCTTACTGTGAATCAGTTTGAGCATCTTTTGATACATTGGAGAACATTTGTATAATTCTGTTTCTACGAACTCTCAGTGTGTGTTAGCATTTAATTTTTTTGTTTATTTTTGTTTTGTTAATCATCACTTGAAAATATTTTTACCACTGATTTTTTTTTGAGGGAGAGAGTGGGCGAGAGAGAGGGAAACATCGATTTGTTGCCTCCTACACCCACCCAACCAGAGCTAGAGATTGAACCTGCAACCCAGGTACATGCCCTTGACAGAAGTGAACCCAAGACCCTTAGGTGCATGGGCTGATGCTCTAACCATTGAGCAACTATGGCAAGGGCAGGATTTAAATTATAAATAGATATTACCAAAGTATAATTTATAGGCAGTGAGTATACATGAACATTCTCGCATTCTTACCTACACTAAATGTTAAATCACTGGCTGAGAAATTTATATTCTTGAGCCAATTTCTTTAGATCAAAATAATAGTCAGTAATCATAATGACTGATGTTTTTAATTAAATCTGGTTTCTGATGCTATCTATGGTATGTCTTATAAAAAAAACTTCAAAAGCTAAATTTATTGTCATATGCTAACACAAGGGTTATTGCATTGATGTCCCAGATATTTAGCTTTTCCCAGGAAAAAGGTGATCAGAAAATGTTAAGCAGGCCAGCCTTACTGATCTGAATGCTTAGTGTTTGGGGATAAAACCTGACCTTTGAGAAATTCTCTCTGTTCAGGCATAAGTGCATTGCATAATGTGCTGACTATTTTTAGAATATTTTGTACTTTAGGATTGTTATGGCTAGATCTGGACACATCATTTCTAATTGAGTCTATCACTGCAGCATATGTGTCAAACCAGAAACCTGGTGCCACATAATGGCAGCAGGCCTGTCGCCTTGCTTAGCTGGGTGTCTCTCCCCACAGCCTTAAGATTTCTAATAAGTTGCTGTTTGCTCTAACCAAGACCAAGTATGCAGCTCTGTCTGCTCAATGTAATCAAGTATTAAGCAGGAAAAAAACAGAATGCAGTTATATACAAGGTGGAACAAAAGTAGGTTTACTGTTGTGAGTATGCAAAACACAGTTTATTCTTGTATTATTATTTATTGTATTATTTTTCATATGAACAACTGTAAACCTACTTTTGCCCGACCCCTGTATAGAACATGTTCTCAACTGTGTTTGAGAAGACTAATAATTTTCTTAAACATTTGAAATAATACATACTAACAATTCACTAGGATTTGCCTCTAAACTGTTAGATTTGGAGCATTGTTCTACTGAATAACTGTGTGTGTGTGTGTGTGTCTGCATTCTTTAATAGACCTAGGAGGGAAAAGGGATTGAAAAAATACCTCAGGGGAAGGAGGTAGCATTTTTGTGGACCTGTATTTATGTATGTAAAGATAGTAGTAAGAAAACTTGCCAAAATTCAACGCTCGCCTATAGTCCGGGTTGAGCTTTTTCTGACAAAGAACCCAAATTTAAACCTTAACATGTGGTGAAAATCTTTGTTCACCTAAGGTAATATATATTTCATCATAATGAAATGTATGTATGAAGTGGATTCTAGCATTGAAACCTTAGGAAAGCTAACATTCTTAATTTTGGTGATGGAGAAGTAGAAACTTTCAGTAGTCAGTATCATCTTTAGAGAAATTAATGAGGTCCTAAGAAATTAAAAACTCTTTTTTTTTTTTTTTTATCCTCACCCGAGGACATTTTTCCACTTTTTGTACAGATAGAGTGGGAGGGAGAGAGAGAGAGAGAAACATCAACGTGAAGGGACACATCAAGTGGCTGCCACCCGGGGACAAACTGCAACCGAAGTACATGCCCTTAGCGGGAACCGAACCCGGGTCTCTGTGTACCGCAGGCCGACGCTCTAACCCCTGAGCCAAACCGGCCAGGGCAAGAAATTAAAAACTCTTAAACACGCCCTGGCCGGTTTGTCTCAGCGGTTAGAGCATTGGCCTGCGGTCCAGAGAGACCCAGGTTCGGTTCCCACTAAGGGCATGTACCTCGGTTGCAGTTTATCCCGGGCCCTGGTTGGGTCGTGCGGGTGGCAACCACTTGTGTGTCCCTTTCACATCGATGTTTCTCTCTCTCTCTCCCTCGCACTCTATCTGAACAAAAAATGGAAAAAATGTCCTCAGATGAGGATTAAAAAAAAACTCTTAAACACATTTGACAGAGTCTGAGCATGTTTGCTTTTTAAAGATAAGGCAGACCTCTTTTCATAGCCTAAGCAATTTTTAAAATTCTAACTTTCTTTTTTTTTTAATCCTCACCCGAGGACATTTTTCCATTTTTTGTTCAGATAGAGCGGGAGGGAGAGAGAGGAAGAGAGAGAGAGAGAGAAACATCGATGTGAAGGGACACATCGAGTGGCTGCCACCCGCACGACCAACCAGGGCCGGGGACAAACTGCAACCGAGGTACATGCCCCTAGCGGGAACCGAACCCGGGTCTCTCTGTACCGCAGGCCGATGCTCCAACCACTGAGCCAAACCAGCCAGGGCTAAAATTCTAACTTTCAAAGATTCCTTATACCTTCTATTTCTTCTGATGGGTCATTTTACATTCTTAAAGTTGAAAACCTTTAAAAGATACGTTTTAACAGAGATTCTGTGCATTTCATGAATTCAGAGGGTGGGGGAATCTGTTCTGGTAGTCTTGCAGCTGTTAGTAAACGTATTGCTGAGTTTTTACTTGTCATTTTCTTTCCTACAGTGACTGAAGCAAGGCTGTGTGACATTCCATGTTGGAGGAAAACTAAAAAAAAAAAAAAAAAATTGAATGCTCTAAGCTGGAACATAGGATCTACAGCCTTGTCTATGGCCCAACACCTTGGCCTTGTGTACAAAAATGAAGAAATACTTCAATAGCAAAGCTGAACATCTAACCCTAGCTGTCTCCTGCTAGACCTCCATGCTCAGCATATAACTATAAATACATGTAAAATTACATGTACATGGCTATATTTTTATTTGCTTGCTCCTAAAAGAGAGAAAAATCAACTTTGAACCACAACTAGGAATTGATGCTTTAATTTTTGGAAACTTTTTTAGAATTTTTAATTTAGTGTATGGTCCAACCTAAGATCCTCAGTTATATCAGGTTTTGTGCACAAAAGAAAAGCACAAAAGTTGAATGCACATAGGTCACGTGCTTTCTCTGCACCAGATACCTGGATGAGGTTCTTTTTTCAGGCCTACAGTTAAGTCTGTGTCCAGAATTTTTTGACTTTTTTTGCTTTGTATAATCATAGAATTCATTGCTGCTGATTTTTGTAATGATTCATGTCGTCATGTAAAGTGTCTCTTAATAACTGAGGACTGTCAACCTGTAATTTTGCCTTTTCTATAGTCTTACTCCCATGAAGAACCTTGGTTCTGATGGAGAAAGAATGAAAAGCTTTATTTTTTTCCCCCAGATATCTTTATATTTCCTGTATTTTCAGTTGTGTTCTATGTGCTACACCTTTTTTTTTTTCCTCTCAGTTTGTTAGAAACACAATTTGGCAATTCCTACATTGGTTCTGCCTACCTTCAAACAGAAATATCTGTATAAATCTTGTGGGTATAAACTACTTTCTGGTAAAATGGTCAGGATAAAATGAGCTCACGTTTTTATGAAATTTGTAAGAGAATGTACGGTTATTACTTGTGAAAGCAAACCAAACAAAGTTTGACCTTTGATTCAGTATTTTTAGTTTTCAGTAACATGTTTTTTAGTTCTTCTAATTTGGGTTAGTTTAAAAGATATGTTGCAAGATATGCATAAAAAATGTGAGCAGTGCTTCTGTTTGCCTCTTGATCAGACACTTCCAACAGAGCAGTAAAGGATTCCATGTGATTCAAACTGAAATTCTTTCTTCAGTCACTATAAGAACTCAAATGTAAAGTATCTCTTTTTAGTTTTATTCGTTTTAGGCCTCTGTGGAAAACCTTAAAGCATGGAATTGAGGCAGGGAATTATACTCATTGAAGTAGAAGTGACTGCCCACTTCAAAATCTTCATTATGCTTATACACAGGTTTGCTTGCATAAATCAGAGATATTTTGTAGACGCTTTGCTGACTTGTTCCTCTCTGTAGAAACACAGAAATCAGACCCATTTTGTAAAGCAGAAAGTCATGTGATGTGGAACATATTCTGTATATATTTCATACGTGGTAATGGAGTCTTAATGATAAATGCAAGGTGATAATTTAATGATGGGATTAGTCTGATCACTTAATATGCGCAATCCTGGAAGTGAATTACTTGCATCAGATATAGTGGTATTTATTATTCTGTACAGAGAGAAAAATACATATAAAACATATGCTTACATTACATGCACGCAGATTTCATGTTCCATAAATCTTTTCTATTTTTTAATTTACCTTTCTCTAAATGATGTGCATGGAATATGCCTTATTATAGAAAAATGCTGTTCATAATTTGACTATGTGGAAAAGTGCCTATGGTGGTAATGCTAGTAAGGCAAATACAACAAATTATCATACCAGTTTACTACATCACCAGTTAACATTTTATATTGTGATGTTTAAAAAAGAAAAGTTTATACCTCAAATGTGTATTTTATTTTACAATCAGTTGTGGGTAGGGGTGTGGGAGTAGGGAGGGTTGGGGAGGGAAGGTATATTCACCATAGATGCTGTTGGGAATCTTCAAAACAAATTCTGTATGCCCACTAGAAATGTTCCTCTGCCATTTTTTTCTGGTAACGATCATGAACACAAGTAGCTCTTTCCTAACTGAATTGGATAGTTTCATCTTACAAAGGTATGGAAAGTTTACAAAGCATATCTAAATCTAATTATTAGTTGTGTTTGCACTAAATGTTAATATACCTTTGCAATTCTGTAAATAAAATGATTGCACTAAAATATTTGTATTGAAAAAGATACATTTTACCTTTAGATAACCGCACTGGTACTTCACTAGTTAATCTTGTCCAACCAGATTTAGAAATGAGTAGGAAAATATGAAAAGAATTTAAAAGAGGTCAAAATTTGGAGAGGTACTAACCCTTTAGACAATATTTAGACCCTCTAGAATTATTTCTCTATGGCTAATTCCTATATACTTTGAATATACATGATATTTTCTCATCCACAGTTATTTCCTACTTTTTTTCTCCAAGCCCACCCCCACTCCAATATATCTTTTCACTCTCTCATCTTTTCTACTCAGTTACTCTTTGTACTGTGATAGAAACTTTAAAAATATTGGCGATGAGGGGTTTTGTTCCCCGAGTGCCCACTGTACAGTTCAAGAGAGAGAGAGCACAGTATTTCCGCTAGATTGCAGGACTCTGGATTTTGAGGTGGAGGATGATGATAGCAGCTCTTGGTTTGGGATCACCACAGGGTCAGGCAGACTGAGGAGGAGGATGGCGGGGAGAGGCATAAGTGCAAAATAAGGAAAAGGAGGAATAGATTTCCCATTTGTTTCATTACATCACTAATGTGTACACCTGTACCACATCAGTGTCAGTTGCTATTGAGAAGTTTTTATTTGGGCTGATCTGGCTCTCTTGTGAAATTGTGCTGGTTATCTTTAAGCTTATCAGTTGTTTGTCTAATTAAACATTTTCATCAGTATTTTCCAAGTTGTACAGACGATGTATTTGGATTATTGTCATTGTTCATCTGCAAACTCAAAACATAATCATTTTAAAGTACCTTGGGAGTGTATAGAGTATAACTATTCTATAATAGCTTTATGATCCTGATGATGTTTTTTTTTTAAATAAAGTTGGATCTTCCATGTTACAATCACAAAATTAAAACCAGTATTTAAAAGTGGAAAAGTATTAAAATATTATGGACAAATTGCTTGTTTGGTTGTTTTTCTTAACCCCAAGATACTGCGCTGCCTACATAATTCTCTGAGTAGTTGAGTCTCCTAAGTAGTATCTGCCTTTCTCTTTATATTCAGTTCTTCCTCCTGCCACTATCAATTATCCTTTAATACATAATGCTTCTTGCTAAATGTTTAAATAGTGCCCTTATCTCCAGGACTCAGACCACATTCCTTGACTTCAGTCTGTTGTCCAGGGTATCTTTTAAGAGTTTGACTTCACCCCATCTGCCTTACCAGCCTAACCAGTCTTGATTATCTCTACAAATGAGTCAGCCCAGCCAGGTGAGTGTATTCCATGTCGTTCAGCAATGCATGCTTATCTTCTAAGGATCTTCTCTCCTCCCTGTAGTCAACATTCAAAATCTGCTTCAAGGTCTCAATTTCTGACCTTAACTATACCAGTCCCCTCAACTTCAGTTCTGTTGTGTGCTTTTCCATTCATGCTTGGATTATATAAATACAGTAGCCCCCCTTTATCTGTGGGGGATGTGATCCCAGAACCCCCAGTGGGTGCCTGAAACCACAGATAGTACCAACCTGTATAGGTAGTGTTTTTTCCTATATGTACATACCTATGATAAAGGGGGTTTTTTTGTTTGCTTTTTTCTTTATTGATTTTAGAGGGAAAGGGGGAGAGAGAGAGAGAACATCAATTAGCCACCTCCTGCATGCCCCCCACTTGGGAATTGTGCCCACAACCTGGGCATGTGCCCTGACCAGGAATCGAACCAGCGACCTCTTGGTGCAATGCAATGCTCAACCACTGAGCCACACTGGTCGGGCCTATAATAAAGTTTTTATAAATTAGGCACAGTAAGAGATTAACAACAACTAGTAACAAAATAGAACAATTTTAACTATATTGTAACAAAAGTTATGAGTGTGGTCTCTGATAATCTAGAAGCTACTAAGTGACTAATGGGCAGGTAATATATACAGCATGAATACCTGAACAAAAGAGATGAGTCATGTCCCAGGTCAAAGAGAGCAGGATGGCGAGAGATTGTGCCACACTACTCAGAATGGCAATTCAAAACTAATAACTTGCTTATTTCTGGAATTTTTTTATCTAATACTTTTGGATTGTGGGTAACCACTGAACATGAAACTGTGGATAAGAGGCTGAACTGGTGTACTGTGACATTGCTTGTATCCATCTAGCAGCTGTACTGATAAGCTTAGCCCAACTGGCTTGTAAGCCTCAGAACACAGGGCCCCATCTAAAATCAGCAGTTGCCATGGGAGGTATATTTGAAGCCGCATATAAATAGTGAAATAAATTGATAGGTTGTACAGCTGAAACTAATACACTGTATGTCGATTATTCTTAAGAAAAAAACAACATCCTCACTTTTAAAGAAATGGATAGGTTGTGAAAAGAAGCAAATGGAGATGAGGGGCGGGGGTTTTTTAACTTCAAAGAAAAGGTACATGTTTGACAACAGGGAATAGAGTTCCCCCTCGTTTATTGCAGTTAATCCTTCCAGACTCTAGTGGTTGCACCTGGCGTTGAAGGATTCCTGGGGTGCTCGAATACACAGGCCTCCCGTCCATACGTACAATAATTTTAATTTTAATTGTAATACAGGGGTGTATAATTGACTCAGACAACTGAGCACGCGCTGTATCATTTTCACTGTCTCAATCAATTTTTTAATGAATATATTTGAAAAAAACGCGATAGAGTGAAGCCGCAAAAGTCGAAGTGCGAAGCGGCGAGGGACGGCTGTAAATGGAGGAGGGTAGTGCTGTCCAGGAACCATATGTTAAGTTTATTCCTAGGTATCTAAATTTTTTTTGCAGTGATGGTAAATGGGATTTTTTTTTTTAGCTTCTCTTTCTGTGAGTTCATCATTGGTGTATAAGAATGCCATCAATTTCTTGACGTTAATTTTGTATCCTGCTAGTTTGCCAAATTCATCTATTAAGTCTAGTAAATTTTTTTAACAGAGTCTTTGTGGTTTTCTATGTATATTATGTCATCTGTGAATAATGACAGTTTCACTTCCTCCTTTCCAATTTGGATCCCTTTTATTTTTTCTTCTCATCTGATTGCTGTTTCTAAGACTTCCAGTACTATGTTAAATTAGAGTGGTGAAAGTGGGCATCCCTGTCTTGTTCCTGTTCTTAAGGGAAATGCTTTTAGTTTTTGCCCATTGAGTATGATGTTGGCTGTAGGTCTTTCATATATGGCCTTTATTATGTTGAGATATGATCCCTCTATTCCCAGATTGCTGAGTGTTTTTATCAGAAATGTGTGCTGAATTTTGTCAAATGCTTTTTCAGCGTCTATTGATATGATCATATGATTTTTATCCTTCATTTTGTTTATGTGGTATATCACATATATTGATTTGTAAATATTGTACCAGCCTTGTATCCCTGGGATGAATCCCACTTGGTCATGGTGAATAATTTTTTTGATGTATTGCTGGATTCGATTTGCTAGTACTTTGTTAAGGATTTTGGCATCTATGTTCATCAGGGATATTGGTCTGTAGTTTTCTTTCTTTGTAGTGTCTTTTTCTGGTTTTGGAATTAGAATTATGCTGGCCTCATAAAACAAGTTTGGAAGTCTTCCTTCTTCTTGAATTTTTTGCAATAGTTTGAGGAGAATGGGTATTAGTTCTTTGAATGTTCAGTAAAATTCCCCATGGAGTCGTTAGGGCCTGGGCTTTTGTTTGCTGCAAGAGTGTTGATTACATCTTCAATTTCTTCTGTTGTTATTGGTCTGTTCAAATTTTCTATCTCTTCCGGGTTCAGTTTTGGGAGACTATGTGTTTCTAGAAATTTGTCTATTTCG